GCATTATCAGGAAATTTAAGAACAATTTGAGCTTTATGAAGCTCGTTCCAAAATTCTCTCTCATGAGGATTAACAGGTTTATGATTACTATCATAATCTTGAGGTTCAGCTTGTCGTTTCATTGGAATGGAAAGTGTTTCAACAGTGGCTTCTAATCAAATAAAAAAATACAGTATGTGAGATAATGTGGATTTCTTGTTTGAGAAGTAAGACACTTACTAGTAGTGGCAGACGGAGCCATTGGCATTTGTATGATGATATGAATATATTTTGCAGTAAGATTTGTGCCAAAATGCTCTTCAATAGTATCAAAATCATCCCAACTCTATAGCTCCAAATTTTTGTGTAATGTCGGTATCTGCATTTATTTCCCATTTATTAATTTCAATTTCAGGAATATTGACTTTCCATAATGTAAGTTGGTTTGCATCAAAAGTTTTAAATACATTCTTCTTGTAGATTTTGATGTCATCTCTGAGTTCTGAAATAGTTTTGGCTTTGTCAGTTTTGATGGTAAAAGCATTCTTTTCACCTATAACAAGACAGCCTAACATATAGCCTAACATAATAGTATATCTGCAAATGTGAAAACTAGCAGATAGAATAGTTTAACATTTTGATTATATGTCATATATATATATATTTTTATAAATAGTTGTTGACTGTTCATAGTATTACTGACTCACAGTTCATAGTAATTAGAGTTAGCAATGTACAGTTATCAGCAATTCTTATTACAGATATGAATATTTTGTGCATGTATTATGTATAAGGATATGACTCAAAACTTATAAAGTTAATACAGTCAGACCTTAATATACTGATACCTCCAGTTTGGGAAAAAATCATCAGTAAATCGAATTATCAGTATATTATAAAAAATTTTATATACCAATATGTATATTGTATATTGATCAATATTGGTACAATGATTTTTACCGTAATTTTTGCAAATATTTATTACTATTAGTATTTTATTATTATATTAATATCACTACAAAATTTACAACATATTATAAAGTTTGAACAAAATTATCTAATGTAATTTGTTTGAATTATTATAATATATGATTTCAGGAACATAAATTGACTTTTCGTTATCTTTGTGTTGTTTTTTTATATAAAATTTTAGACATTAAATGATTTTATCTCTAGAAATTGAGCTATGAAAAATTTTTTTATTAAAATTGAAATAAAAAATTAGAATATAAAAAAATTTTCATTAAGTTAACAAGTTCTCTCACTAGAAATTAAAACTAAAAATTTTTTATTAAAGTGGAATGAAAAAAATTCATACATACTTACATACTTAATTTAATTCATTTAAGTTCTTCACGAGCTTCATGATATAAAATTTCTAAATCATTATGAAGGGCCTATAGATGATTGAAGTGATTATTGGTACCTTTGCAACAGTGGTTGATAATTTAAAGATAGTTGGTTTTCTTTATCATGATCCATTGCAGTAAGACATGGATTGCAAATACATGTATCCAAAGGAAGATTCAAGATAGGTTAGAGTCATTTTGGAATTCAATAATTCCTGAAAGAAAAAAGAAAATAAGTAATATTAAAAATATTACTAAAAATAAATAAAAATTATTTTCTACTTAAAATCTAGTTCATAATTTCGTCTGAAACTCCTATAAAAGAAGAAAGAAAACTGAAAAAAGAAGTTAAACTAATATTAATAAGAAAATCACCTCCAAGAATTGAACTTGGACACAGAAATTGTGGAACCAACGGTGATGGATTTTGTTGAGTTGATAAGTTATTAAGGAAAGAACTCAACAAAGGAATGAAATAAAGGGTATCACATGTGAAGAAGGAAATCACATGAGATAGATCAAATGATCACAAGAAAGGTAAATTTTACAAGACAAAGGATCTCTCTGACACCAATTAGCACAGTGCAATGCTTCATGGGCGATGCAAACGATCCCCTTATAAAATTTATCTATCTAAGAATGGTCAAATGATCAAGAAAGGGTAAATTTTTACAAGACAAAGGATCTCTCTGACACCAATTAGCACAGTGCAATGCTTCATGGGCGATGCAAACGATCCCCTTATAAAATTTATCTATCTAAGAATGGTCAAATGATCAAGAAAGGGTAAATTTTTACAAGACAAAGGATCTCTCTGACACCAATTAGCACAGTGCAATGCTTCATGGGCGATGCAAACGATCCCCTTGTAAAAATTATCTATCTAAGAGTGGTCAAGCAATCCCAGTTGACCAAAGGGTAAAGATTACGTCTCCATGCTATATTTGGTAAGCAATGGACCAAGCTACGTAATATAAGATTATTTATAACTGAAGCTATTGGGAGATAAGAATAATATTGAATAAATGGATTATATTATATAGTAAAGCATAAAAAAAGAGAAGAATATGAATTATAAAATTGAGAAAGTAAAGAAAAGTAAGAAGAATTGATAATAATGTGGATAAGATATAAAAAAGAATTGATAAAGAGATAGATAATAATAAATTTTTAAAATAGTGAAATATATTAGAGATAGAAGGAAGAGAAGGGAGAAGTTTAAGAATGATAGTAGTTAAGAATTTCAATGAAATAAGAATTGAGACAATTATGTTCTTGAGGATATCAGTATTTATGAGAATAATAATAAAAAGAATGTAAAAGAGTAATGGTAGATACTGAAGTAATGATAGATGGTGAGAGGTTTCAATAGGTTGAGGATTATTATAACATTTGTTGACTGGAATTTCATTGAAAATAGTAGTGATAATATTTGCACATAATTGATAAGACATTTTGAATTGAAATATTAAATTGTAAAATTTGTTATTGGAAAGAAATTTGGATTTGGTACAGTTGATATTGATATTTGAAAATTCGATTTTTTGATTTTTTTCTTGAGGAAATTTGGGGTATATATATATTCCTTTGAATACATAGATACATAGTGACTAATAATAAATTGATAAAAAAAATCAAGATTATCTATGAGTCACAATTAATTTATAAGTTATTTAACCTAAACTAGTAATATTAATTGATTTAATGATGATTAATATGTATAATTGTGGCCTATAATACATAGTTAATATGATTTATTCCCTATAAACCATATAATTAACTTAAATATACTTGCATAATTAATTACATATTATGATATTGTGTAATATTCCCATATTATTAAAGCTTTTATCATTGTTAATTAAAAAAATAAATTTGTTAAATTTTTATTTAAGCTAAATTTATTTTTGATATATAGTTTAACAATAGTTTTAGTATAAAGTTTTTATTGTATACATTACCGAAAAATAAGCTCAGCTCTTGAGTGTACTAGTGAACTTGAGAGCTAAATAAATTAAATACGCGTGATATAATAACAAAAATGACATTTTGATAGTTACACAAGATCCTAGATTTAATATTCCCTAGTTTGGAGTTGAAGTGTGTATACTTACGTTTCGGACAATAAAAAAAGTATATTGAAAGTCTATTTCTTATTAATCAGATGTAAGTATAACAAATTTATATACTGATTGCAATATACTGCGTATCTAATAAAATATGTTAGTTTGTATTATTATTCATATAAAGTCAACATCTAATCTCTAATCTCATAATTAACATGTAATATTTTAGTTAATAAAAAACTTACTATAATATGGAGAAACACGCAATAAAAACTTGTCAAATGTCTACTTTATTACTTTTAAATAGGTAAAGATCTGTATATGAGATATGAAATTACTTTGATATTTTTATATTTTGTAGTTTTACCAAAATTCAGGGATTTTTTTCTTATAGTAAAATTTTTATCACGTGACTTGACATAATAAATGTCCCCGAAAATGTAGATCCAAATTCTGTCTTTATTAGATGATGTAAAGAGACATGAGGTATAATGTAACGATACAAAATTTCTTCAGATTCACTCAGGTGGGATATAAAAGCAAAATGTTTTTTTTTTAATTTTAAAAACGGTTTTGTTATTAAATGGCTAAAATACACAGAAATAATTAAATATCATAAAATTTGCTCATATCTGAATAATATATTAATTTTGTACCTATAGTTTATATTGAATTAATTAACTATTAAAGGTTATTTGCATTTTATACAAAATGTGAGGCTATCAATTAATCGTATCATGTCAATAAACTACTAACTAATCTAATATTGAATAATTTTCTACATATCAGGAACTTATAAAAACCACTAAATTATGATGTGTCTATAAATCCAATAAATCTGATGAAAACCAAATATCTCTCAATTTTCCTCCGATCTCTAAATATTGACATATCTATCTATCTAAACTTCCTTGTAACAAATCTGCATTTGACTTTTTCACTAGCTCCATAATGTGTGATCAATGATCTATTACTTTCCCATTCATTTCATATTTTTAGTAATACCCGATTATGTTCCCATTGACTTACTACTTCACATCTGGGTATCCAAATAAACCTTCAGTTCATGGTAACTCTTTAATATTAGTTACAAATTCTTTGAAAATTTTTATCTTTAATTCCAAAATATAACCAGCTATTAACAATCCCTTCAATAGTTTCATAAAAAATATGATCATTAAAAATAATCAAAGATCTCTCATTCAAAATAAAAATAAATTTGCATGTTAATCTATGATCAACTTTAAATTTTTGCTGTCTCCAATAAAATTCATAATATTTTAATAAAAATTTCTGAAAATTACTGAAATTCAACGTTGTATTTCTGCTAATATATTTAGGAAATTTATAATTATGGAAATTAAATTTATTCATTTTTATAGTATTTGTTTATTATTAATCATTAATAAAATTTTGTTTAATTACAAACTGATTTTATTATGTAAAGAAATAAAGGTTTACATATTACTCTATAATCAAGTGTTAAACAAAAATTAGTAATGATATAAATAATTTCATGAAAAGAAAATATATATAATAAAATTCCTAAAAGTAATTTAATCAACAAACTATGAGAATATGATACAAGCCTAATCAATTTATACTGTCATTTTATGTTATTTATTTGAAGTTTAATATACTCTTTTACTTTAAATTTTCAAACCATTATTTTACAGCCAATTGTTTATAACTTTAAGCTATAATATAGAAAAAGAATGAATCGTGAGCAAAATATAAAAATAGTATAATAATAAAAAACAAGCAAACTTACTTGTAAAATCAATAATTTCTACTGTACTATTATTAAAATTATCTTCATATTTTGAAAGATTTTTTGTAAAAGAATTAAGTAATCGAGATGTATAAATAGCTTGTGTATGAGTAGTTGATTGATTATTTTTTATTGATAAAAAATTTTCTTTTCTATATTCTTGTGTCTCATTAAATTGGGTTTCAGTTTCATGATGTATTTGTTCCTTTTTATCAAATTTTTGATTTAATGAATTATAAAATAGGTCAATAAATTCTTTTAATTCAATTGAATTTGGTCTATTATCTGGATTTGAATCCCAACATCTTTTCATTAAGTCGATATAACATTTTGGTGTAATTTTGTCATTTATTTCAGGTCTAATTCCATTACATATTTTTAATGCTAGAACCCCATCATGAGCACAATCAGCAAAAGGTTGCCTTCCAGTTGCTATAACATACATAATCATACCAAAGCTATATATATCTGCTGCTTGAGTATAAGGATTTCCTTTTAATACTTCAGGAGCTACATAAGGCATAACTCCATAAATACTTGTTTCATTAATATCATCAATTTTTTTACATAATCCCATATCAGAAATACATGCAACATAATCAATAGACTCATTATTTTTATTATGATACTGATCAAATCTTGTAAATTTTGTAAATAATATATTTCCAATATGAAAATCACGATGAACCATTTGTTTTTGATGAATTTTATTAAGACCTTCAATAGTATTAGTTAACACACTTAATCCATTAAACCAATCAAAAACTTCATACTTTTTATTTAAATAACTATTGAAATCTCCACCTTCTGCATATTCAAGAACCATAATATAATCTTTTGTAGTTGGATTTTGAGATATTCCATATATTTTAAGAATATTATCTATTTTTTGATTTGGATATGCTTTAACCTATTGAATAATAATAAATGTGTAAATATTATTATTTTTGCTAAAAAATATTTAAATTATAAAAAAAATTCCATACCTCATTTATAAATTCATCAAGGAAATTTTGTGAATTATGTAAACATTTTAAAGCAACTTTTGTATTTGATTCTCTTTTCCATTTATAATCAAGACTCAATCCATATCCTATATTACAATAGGATAATAAACCATCTTTCCATATTGCTGAATATACTGTAGAGAAACCACCTTTACCAATTTCTTTAATATCATTAAACTGATCATATGGTATCCATTCAAATATCATACCAGAATCACTAGAATTATGATCAATATTTAATTTCATTTCTTGAATTAAATCACTAATTTTGTTATTTTCATGATTTGTTTGACATGACATACAACTTTTATTATTTAATTCAAATTGATTATTGTATTTTTTTCCACAGTTTTCACAATAATATTTAAGTTTAAAAACTAGAACAAAATCTTTTGTATTTGGATTTTGAGATACTCCATAACTTTCCTCAACTGAATATAAGATCTATTAAAATATAAAATCAATATATTATTATCATTAATAATTAAATTAAATTAAATTTTCAAAAAAACTTCATACCTCATTTAAAAATGTGTGATTAATATTTTGTGAATTATTTAGATATTTTAATAAAACCTTTTCATCTGATTCCCTTTTATAATTCTTTCTTATTTTGCTATAATATAATGGCCCATACTTCCATATTGCTGTAGCAAAGACACTATTTCGTATTTCTTTAACATCAATAAACTTATTGTATGGTATCCATTCAAATATCATATCATCATATCTATTGATTTTTAATTGCATCTTTTTGATGAAGTCATCAATTTTCTCATTTCCACTAGTCCAATCTGCAAAATCATTTTTTAAACGATTTATTTCACATGATTTACACCAATAATTATAAGCATTCTCGTCGTATTTGTTTTCACATTTTAAACAATAATGAGCAATATAATAATTATTAAAGACCAAAATATAATCTTTTGTATCTGGATTTTGAGATATTCCGGAGACTAGATTATTTAATAAAAATGATTCAACCTATCAAATACAAAAAATCAAAAATTAATCTTTATATTATATTTAGTTTAAATAAATAAAAATTCCAATACCTTATTTAAAAATTCGTCAGTAATTTCTTGTGAATTATTCATATATTTTAAATAAACTTTTTCATGTGAATTTCTTATCAATTTTTCATTTTTAATAGGATATAATGAACCTTTCTCCCATATTGCTAGAGTAGAATGTTTTCCTAACTCTTTATTAATAATGACAACTTCATTATATGGTATCCATTCAAATATCTTATCATTATAATTATTAATATTTAATTGCATTTTTTGAATGAAGTTATCAAGTTTTATATTTCCACTAGTCCAATTTGTAAAATTACTTTTTAATTGATTTATTTGACATTGTATACACCATTTACCATAACCATCCTTGTATTTGTTATCACATTTTTCACAGTAATAATCAAAAAATTTATCATCCAAAACTAAAACATAAACTTTAGTATTTGGATTTTGAGATATTCCGAAGACTAGACACTTATTATTTAAATATGATTCAATCTATCAAAATATGAAAAAAAAAAATTAATATTATATTTGATATTTGATTAAGAATACATTGAATATATAGAAATTTTAATACCTTATTTAAAAATTCGTCAGTGATTTCTAGATGTTTTAAATAAACTTTTTCATATGATTTTCTTACCGAATTTATAACATCTTGCTCCCATATTGCTAAAGTACAATTTTCTGATTCATTAGAAATGATAAACTCGTTGTATGGTATCCATTCAAATATTCTATCATTATATTCATTAATCATTAATTGCATTTTTTGAATGAAGTCATTAAATTTTACATTCTCATTTGTAAAATTATTTTTTAATTGATTTATTTGACATTGTTTGCACCATCCATATTTCCCATATTTGTTACCACATTTTTCACAGTACCTATCAAAATATATAATATGAAAAACTAAAAGATAAACTTTCGTATCTGGATTTTGAGAGATTCCGAAGATTACTTTATTTATTAAATACGATTCAACCTATCAAAAAAAATACGAAAAAAAAAAAATTTATATACGATTCAAATATATAACAATAAAATATATGAAAAATTTTAATACCTCATTTAAAACTTCATCAGTAATTTCTCGTAAATTACGTAAATAAACTTTTACACAAGAATTTCTTTCCGATTTTTCAACATAATTAGAATATAATGGACCCTTTTTCCATATTGCTAAAGTATAGTTTTCTAACTCATTAATAATGATAAACTCGTTGTATGGTATCCATTCAAATATTATATCATTAGATCTATTAATATTTAATTGCATTTTTTGAATAAATTCATCAAGTTTTACATTTCCACTAGTCCAATTTATAAAATTATTTCTTAATTGATTTATTTCACATTGTTTGCACCATTTATCTATCACATATTCGTAACCACATTTTTCACAATATTTGTTGAAATATTTATCATTAAAAACTGAAAGATAAACTTTCGTATTTGGATTTTGAGATATTCCAATGACTATTTTAGATGTTACAGATGATCCAAGCTATCAAAAAAAATTTACATTATATTGATATTCGGATTTAAATAAATAGAATTCAAAATAAAAATCAGAATGTTATTAAAAAAAATTCTAATATCTCATACCATATTTAAAAATTCATCAGTATTTTCTTGTAAATTATGTTGATGCTTTAAATAAACTTTTCTATCTTTCTTCCACATTGCTAAAGTATAGTTCCCTAACTCTTTAACAATGATAAACTCATTGTATGGTATCCATTTAAATACATTATAATTATTAATTATTAATTGCATGTTTTGGATGAAGTCATCAAGTTTTATAATTCTATCATCCCAGTTTGTAAAATTATTTTTTATTTGATCTATTTGACATTGTTTGCACCATTTATATCTTCTACCTTCGTATTCGTTACCACATGTTTTACAATAATGGTTAGAAATTTTATTATCAAAAACTAAGATATAAACTCTTGTATCTGGATTTTGAGATACTCCATAACATTCAACTGGATAAGTTAAATATGATTCAAGCTACCAAAAATAAAAAAAAAACAAATTAATGATATATTAACATTATAATTAATTTAATAAAGAAAATTAATACCTTATTTGCAAATTCTTCAGTTATTACATTTTGTAAATCATATAAAGATCTTAATATGACAGTTTCATACGGTCTTCTTATCCATTCCTTATTATATCTATTATAATGTAATGAACCATTCTTCAATTTTGCTTTAGTAAAACAATTATTTTCTATTTCTTTAATATCAATAAGTTCATTATACGGTATCCATTCAAATACTGCTTCACCATCATCTGAATTATCTTCGACATCACCGTATTTTAATTGTTTTTCTCTAATGAAATTATCAATTATTTCATTTCCACTGGTCCAATTTGCAAAATTTTCTGCAATAATTTTCTTCCCAGTAGTCAAATTTCCAAAATCTACAGGAACTTCCATTAATTATAAAATTATGAACTATAGAACGATGAATAATGATTTTAAATAAAAATAAAGTACGATACTAAATTTGGTTAACAAAGACTTATATGTTTTCGTAGTACATCATTACGTCACAAGTCTTTTATTCATCGATCATCCCAATTTAAGTGTGTCGATCCGTTAAGTTATCGGATAAACGGATATTAAATTTATCCAAAAATCTGCATTATCAAACTAAGTAAACTAAGTTTAAATCATCATATTAGATGACTATCCCCGCTGGTAAATCATTGATTGACCCAAGTTAATAAAAACTAGATGATACAGACTAAAATATATCGGATAATCGCAGATCAAATATCCGTTTATCCGATTAATTAATACTATCCCAATTAACGCTAGTTTGTTTTTTTATTCAGTTGCCAAAAACGTCAACCCTATAAAAAATTTTTATCCATTATTTCTGTAAAAACTCCGTAAAAATGAGCCTTTCATGGATCCATTCACGGAAAATGTAAATAATTCGATAAATTCCGGGATATAATGTTATTAATTCCGGAAATATGAGCCTTTTACAGAAAAAGATGGAATATAAAAAAAGGATCGACTTTTTTTACAAGGAAAACCTTAATTTTTTTATTAAAGGGCGTAAAAAAATAAACAAATAAAAAAAGTACAACGAAATCGTATGAGTCTCTTATTGAACAATCATGGCATCAATTCATTGAACATCCAATTAACGTTAGTTTATTTTTTATTTAGTTACCAAAAACTTCAAACCTTAATTTTTTTTTAGTAAAAAACGTATTTTGGTAAGAAAAAAAATATGGCGTAATAATGTTCTACGAAGAAGCATGACTTTTATTAACTTGGACTTGAAAAGGGACTCTTTCTGCCGATCATCACGACTATTTTTTCATACGTTTTTCCGAGATCAACAAACTTCGCTAGGATTATGAAATATGAAATTATGATATTTCAGGATTATAAAATTTTATAATTATGGCAGTATTATGGCAAATTCAGGATTTTGAATGAATCCAAAATTTGAAGTTGCCATACAGTTCCGAAATTAAGCAACTTTTTTTTACACATAATTCCGAATCAAATAATTTTGATTACACACGATCCAAATCTAAAAGACAGAGAACAAAAAAAAAAATAGAAATAAAAAATAAATATATATTGAAAAAATATATATATATATATATATATTGAAAACAAAAAAAAAAGAAAAATATATATATTGAAAAAAAATTTTTTTCGGCCGATCAGAGAGTAATCTAAAAGTTTCTACCTAGAAGATCATATTTATATTGCAAATCTGGTAATTTTTAATTAATACCTTATAATTTGACATAATGATTCAGGTAATTCCCCTGAAATAATTTTAAACATGTCCGGAGTTCAAAAAAGGGACAAGTTTTATATATTTCAGTTTTAGTTATACGCCAGATTTTTTTTTCCACTAATAAAATAATTAAGTTTAAATGTACGATTTCACAAAATTTCATTCATATTTGTGAAATCTTTAGAAGGAACTTAAAATGATTGATCAATATTACTAAAAAGGCACAATTATCGCTCTTTAACTTAATTAAAATTAAATTATGAAAAAGTCAAAATCAAATTGTATGTAAAATGTAATATACCAAAATTTTTTACTCTTTGACGTAAAATTTTTGCTGATACATGTTTAAGAAACATACCTTTTCCCGACAACGATTTCCCGACAACAATTTCCTGACAAGACAAATTCCTGAATGGAAAAGCACTTTTTCCCGACATGTATTATCCTGACGAAATATATCCAAAGACATTATCCCGACATGACATTTTCCCGAATCAAATGATTTACAAAAAATACCAGAAATACTTGATTTTTTATATAATAATCAAATAAAAATTTATTTTAACTTACTTTTTTCGCATAATTTAATTTTTTTTAAATGAAAAATGAATTTATTCTTTTACAATTATTATATTTTACCGCGTAATTTATCTAATTTATATTGTATTTTTTTTTATCTGAGATAATTTTTTTTTTTGAACATAATTAAAATTTCACGTATCAAACTAAAATTGCGTAATTTATTTTTATCCTCTGATCGGAACCATTTACACGATTATGCAAATGTAGTTATACCTACTGGATAGTTCCCAGGTTGCAGTAAAAATTAACTAGTGATTATACTATAATAGACAGCTTTGAAAATATGCGTGAATAATTCAGAAAGATTTGTGCATTTTCAAATGAGGAAACTTTCTTTTAGTTCTGGAACTTTTTAAAATTTTTAATATTTTTTTAAAAATCTTTTAATAAAATGAAAAAAAAACAAAGCGAAGGAAAATAGGATTCAATAATAAAATGTTTGAGAAGGTGTTATACTATAACAAGATCTTCAAAGACTTAAAATATCGTCGAAGAAAGCGTGATAAACATACACAAATATATCATGATCTGCATAATACATTTTTTAATGAACTGCGCCTGATTATTAAACATGTTTGTTACACACAATTTATTGACATTAATTGTGCGACAATATCGGAATTACCCACTCCGAAAAATTGAATATAAATTCAACTCAGTTTGGTCTTACAATAAAATGATACGCTACTTTTTATTTACAATATGTCATGCTCAAAAATATTTTCAGGAGATTTACCTGAATTAATATATGAAATCATCAAAAATTTTCATAATGATTATTCAACTTTACATTCATGTGTTTTAGTTAATAGATTATGGTGTCGTTTAGCAATTCCATTATTATGGGAAAACCCATTTTCAATCCCTACTGGAAATTATAATTTTATTGAAGTTTACTTGTATAATTTGAATGATTTAAAAACACAATTAAATAAATATATATTTATTGATTATTTATTACTTTCAAATACACTTTTTGATTATCCTAGTTTTATAAGATATTTGAGCATGTATAAAATTTCTCTTTCCATTGTGAGATGGTTAAAAGCTAATGATAAAACTTCAAAATTCAATAATAGAAATGATTCGAAATCAGTATTGGAATTTAAAGAATTTAAAGAATTGATTGAAATGTCATTAATTAAATTATTTATTGAAAATGAGGCAAATTTACATACTTTTGAAATTAAGGTAGATTACAACAAATATTGTAATAACATTCTTGAATCAATTTTACAAAATCCAAATTTCATTAACAAAATTGGAAATTTAAAATTTTCTATTTTACGCTCTAATACGTTAACTAATGATCGTATATTGCAAATAATTAATCCACATCAAAATCTTAAAAGAATTCTATTAGGTTATGATAATTTATCTTTATATCGATCATTATTATTATCAAAAGAATCTAATTGTTCAAATACCTTAAATACAATCATTTTCTATTACATCAATTTAAATGGTATAATTGATTTAGTTAAAGTATTTGAAAAATTGAATGTTTTAGAATCTGTTCATATCATTTATTGTTCTTCTTTAAATAGTTTTATTCAACAAATTATTAACTTAACCAAACCATTTAAACTGAAATCTTTACTTATCAACCGTGAGAATTTGCATGATGATTTATTACAATCATTATTACAAAAATCTGGAAATTATTTAGAAAATCTCGCATGTGGGAATGAACAACAATTATTGGAATTAATTATAAAATATTGCAGAAATATCAAATTTCTTGATTTATATAATATTGAAACTCGCCTTACTTCTCTAATATTCGATTTAATTTTAAATATTAAAGAAAATCTTAATTATCTTTCGATCAGGGTAGGGAACTATCAAAATATTAATAATATCGAGTTAATATTACAAAAATTAGGACAAACACTTCCTTCTAAACTTGAATATTTAAGCTTGCTTCTTTATTACATTAAAGCAAATGATTTTGAAGTATTCTTAAAAAATTCTCAAGATAAATTCTTTAAAAAGTTATTAATTAATAATATGATGCGAGAATATAGAAATGATATTGATATTTTACCTTATATAAAAGAATATATTATGATGGAGAAGAGAGTCAAATATTTGGCTATTAAGAATACTTGCATTTATGTTAGTAGTAGGAAAAGGGTAGATTTGTCTAGTTTTAAAGATGAAGTGAAGGAATTTAAGTTACATAATATTAAAGTTCTAAGTTATGTTGATTTATCTACTGATATTTATGGGTTTTTGAATGAAAATTATTAATTATTTAGTATTTTAGTTGTTATTTAAAATAACAGATAGTAATATTTTTTCAATTTATAAATGATGGAAGTTGCTTTATAAATTACTTATCTTAAAATAAATATCCATTCATTAATAATTAATAATTTTTAAGAAATTTTATTACTATCCATAACAATTTTATAAATAAAGTTCCCATAATAATGTACTAGAAGGAGAAAATTAACCGAGCTTTTGTATGTCTAAAATTACCAATTAATCATTGTTTATTTTCTCTTCTAAAAGTTAACCATTTGTACCTGATTTATCATATAAATGATATTTCAAATATTATTTCTCTTAAATTTTTCTAGCAAAAAATTAGAAAACTTTAACTAAATTTCCTGTATAAAAATTCCTTAACATTAATAGGTCTATAAGAATGACACAACCTAGTTAAATTAATTTATTGATTAATGCTAATAGGTTTTAACCATTATTATTATCAACTTTACATTTAATAGCAAAGTTAATCACAAAACAAACTGACCAAAAAAATAAAACTAAAACAACCCTAATTTTAAATAATATTTTTTTTTTTATATTTTAGAATGAATTTTTATTGCTAAACTTTGGGCTAAAATGTATTAAAAACTCTTTAGTTCAATATTCTAAATGTTATTAAAGTTGATTAGTAAAAAATAAACAGATACTAAACACTAGTACAGAATTTAATTTACATTAATACAAATACAAATAAACTGGAACAAAAATCAACAAATAAATTGTCACAAAAGATAGATTTTGACCTATCCATTTTGATCCACTTGCTTCATATATTTCTAAAATTGGATTTTAATAATATAACTTTTTTATAAAATAATTTCTGGACATTTTTAATAGGATAGAAAGTCCGTAAGTTTACGTTTATTACTAATAAAAGCCTAAAATTCATTATTTTTTTAAAAAAAATGAAAGTTTTTTGTTCTTGTTTAAGAACATTTTTTGATTTTTTAATAAAAATTTTCAATTTTTTATAATTGTTAAATTTTTTTTCTCACCTGAAAATTGGTTTCATTAAGAATTTTTCGTTTGGACTTTGATAAAAACGCATAACATTGATCTATACTGAAAAGAAGATTCAACATAAAAGGAAATTTTAAAAAGTGATTACTAGTCAGTATAGTTTACAATACAATATATAATATATGTATCATTAACAATATTCATTCCTTATTATACCTTGATAATTTTATTAAATGTGATACTAATATCATTACATTATCACTATTAAACTCTTAATTGTTACCACATACGAATTTCTTAAAAATTCCGGAAAAAACTCCGCCGATAAATGATCATTTTTCTAGTTTTTTTTTTACTCCGAAGAAACTCGGACACGTGATGCAATTTCTCCGCAGAAATGATTTAATATTTTAATGTGGTCGAATAAAATTTTTTTTTTAATTTTGCAATATATTTATACAATTGAGGAATTAAAGCTTTTCAGATACATTTATTATATCGCTTAATAATCAAAAAAATTCAGCACTCGTGATATGTCTGCGCCTGATTTATTCCGTGTTTATTATAACTCGTTCCTAATCAATGTTGGATATTGTTTTTTTTTGCAATACTAACGAAAAAAATTTAGTTTCTTAATCATATTTCCATTTGGGAGAGCATTGGTTTTAACCTTTTTTTATTTTAGCTTTTTTTTTTAAACTGAATATTAACAGGAATAGCAGAAACTTAATAATGAAATAAAAAAAGGAGTAAGTGTTAACAAAAGATCGGAACAATAAAGTAAAAAGAACAACAAAAAAATGAAAAAGAACAAAAGAAACGAAAGAGGAGTGGAAAGGAACGAAAGAAACGAGGGGGAGTGAAAAGGAGCAAAAGAAACGAGAGGGGAGTGAGAAGGAACGAAAGAAATGAAGGGGAGTGAAAAAGAACGAAAGAAACAAAGGGAGAGTGAAAAAGAAATGAAAATAATAATAGGAGATGAAAATGAAATAAAAATTGAGATGGAAAAATAATAGAAAATGAAAATAATTATATGAAAGGAATATAGTAAAAATAAAACGAATCAACAATTGGAAACAAGCAAGAAATGAAAGCAACAAAAGATAAAAAGAACAATAAGAGATAAAAAAAAATGAAAAAAACCAAGTAAAAAACAAAACTCATAGTAAGAAACGAAATGTAATAAACGAAATAAAAAAAATAAAAACAAAAAAAAATGAAAACCAACACTACCTTAATTATAGAGAACCAAAGGATCTAAAAAAATAAAATAAGGTTAATAAGGAAGGAAATGTAAAGAACAAAACTTGCAGGGGCTACCAGAAGTCTTATTAAAATAATAAGGCAAAAGACACTCTAGAGCAGATTTAGTTTGTCCTAGGTCTTGATGTGAGTGGTAGACTTGGGACGAAGACGAAATAAAAAAAAATAAAAACTTCATGAAATCGCGTCTATGTAATACTGAACACACCTTAATTGCAAAGAGCCAAAGGACTTAAAAAGAATAAAATAAGGTTAGCGAAAGGTAAAATATAAAATGAAATAAAAAGAAAGAAATAACGTACCTAGTTGAAAGGCGAGCGAAGGGTCTAATAATAATTTATCTCAAGGTTTTAATAATATGTATAAAACAAATAAAAATAGTACCTTTAAAGTAACAAAGTAGCATTTACCTAAGATATAGTTGATGGAACAGCCGCTCTTGCTGAAAATATATATGATAAAAATAAAAAATAAACTTAATTCTGGCCGGAATTAAAATTTGGCCAACTTTAACTAAATTATGTGATAAACGTTGCTAACCAATTAAGTCTAGATCAACGTACTTAGCCATTTCTATACATCTTATCTTTCCATAAACTCTTTTTTCACATGGTATCCGCTTATATATATAAAAAATTTCCTTTTAATCGTTCAATTCAACTTATATTTCTCAGACTCGAAATAAAGAATGTCAACACAATTTTTTTCTAGGTTAAGTAAAAATTATATTGAAATTTTAGATGAAGAAGAATATAATGATGTTACAATTGAAGTTGGTAAAGATCCAAACGTAAAAATATTTCGTGCACACATGATTATCCTATGTTACCGTTCGCCATTTTTCCGACGAATTTTTGCTTCAAATAAAAAGAATGATAGCTTAGCTCATTTTAAGTTGCCAAATATTTCACCAAAACTTTTTCAGATTATTTTAAGGTAAGTATTTATTATTATAGATGTTATTAATATTTTAGATAATTTAAACTAACATAAATCTTACAATATAGATATATTTATGGTGGTATCATTTCGTTAGATGAAAACGAAACTTCAGAAATTTTAGAAATTTTAACTGCTGCTGATGAGCTCCTTCTTCAAGAACTAGTTAATTATTTACAAGAATATTTAATTAAAAATAAATCTGAATGGATTAAACAGAATTTTGAAATTACTCTTCAAACAAGCTTTCAATCTAGTTCTTTATTAGAACTTCAACAATTTTGTGTAGATTTTATGGCTAAATCACCAGTAAAAGTATTTAATTCGTTGGATTTTACATTGCTTCCTGAAAAATCTTTAGTTTCACTCATTAAAAGAGATGATTTACAAATGAAAGAAATTGAAATTTGGGAACATGTATTAAAATGGAGTCTCGAAAAAAATCCTACGCTTATATCAGATCCAGTGACTTGGTCAGATGATGATTTCGAAGTAATGAAAAATACTTTGCAACATTGTTTACCTTTAATCAGGTTTTTTAGTCTTTCATCCGAAGAATTCGTGCAAAAAGTTCGTCCTTATAAAAAACTTTTAAGATCCCAACTTTATGAGGAGTTGCTGAATTCTTATCTGAATCCTAATAGTGAACCAAATGATGACATTTTACTTCCTCGATATAAAAATATTGATGGAATCATTGATTCAAAAATTGTTAATTTAAATATTGTATCCTTAATTTCACGGTGGATCGATAAATTAGATATTAAAAGTAAATTTGCTTATGCAAGAGAATTTTATTTACCATATAGATTTAGATTATTATTAAGGGGAAGCCGAGATGGATACACTCCTAAAAGATTTCACGAATTATGTGACAATATACCTCACACTGTTACGTTCATTAGAGTATCAGGAACAGGAGAAATTCTTGGAGGATATAATCCTTTAATATGGAGATATTCGAATACATTTGATGATGAATTTGGCAAAACAAAAGATAGCTTTATATTTTCTTTTAAAAGTAAGGATAATTTTAAAGATTCAATTTTAAGCCATGTAAAATGTATAAGCAAATCGTTGTTTTATTGCGATGGGTATGGCCCTACATTTAATTTGGACCTTTGTTTAATGGTGAATAATAATAATGATTTGAGGGAATATAATATTTGTCAGTGTAAACAAACATGTTATGAAAAAAAGATAAGAGATGAAGAATATTTTAGAGGAAATGAATATGAAGTATATCAAATCATAATGAAAGAAGCCTAAGTTCAAGCCTATGTATATTATTTGTATCTTTATATCTTCTTATATTTATTTTACATTGTAAGTTTAATGAACCTACAAGTTTTTGATTTTATTTGAACATATTTTACCTTCTGCTTGCTCCTAACGTAAATCAATCAATTAAATTCTTTAACTTTGACGTTAAATCTAATTTAAATAATTAAAAGATTCATAAATATTTTTTATCATAGGTGTAGTATAATAAAAGAAATATATATATATTATTGAATAAGCAACATAAAATTTAGTAATATTACTCTTATAACGTATTAAATTTTCATCAGCCAATCAACGATTGTATTCATTTAATTTTTCTTTAAATAGTGTTGGCGTAATGCCGTAATGTATTAAGCAGATACTAATCCCTATATATATTTAATTTATCTATATTTGGTAATATAATTTTGATCAGCATTTAAAAAAAGATTTGCAACTTGCTTTCTGTAACAATTCATTTCCCCGCCTTCTCCCATTTTTAAAAATATAATAAAAAAAATGGTAAAACAATTTTTTTCTAGTTTAAGTAA